TTAGTGTACACAGACACCACATTGAAACTTACAAGCAAATCTCCTCTTTCTAACGTCTGAACATCAATTAACTTTATAAATTCGTAACAGTTTCTTACCGAAAAATCCAAGTTTCTGATAATTCTTTTAACCGAGTACCCAGTTTGTCTTCATATCTTTAACGTGAATTTTTACGTTTGAAAGCATGCTATAACCGATAATTTATCATTTATTTCGAAGATAATCTTGAAATTTCCATGGAGTTTCCTTCATTATTTACAGCCCATACAAGGAAAAATTTTAAGTGAATCATATCACGTCTCAAATAAGATTTAAAAATTGCTTTTCCATATCTGGTTGGACAAAACAACCTATGTGACCAACTGCCTCAATCAAGTAAATTGTTGGATTTCCTAAACGCCTAATCATACGAATTTTGGGTTGAAAGATCAGTTCTAGCACATTATAAGAGAGAAATGTGCGCTTAATTGATTCGTATACTTTTCTGAGGTATAATGTAACCTTAGCAGTTTACCAAAACTTTAAATAAGTAGAATAATTTACAAAATAATAGCCATTCTTCAAAATACCTTTCTGAGCGTCTTTTGAATTATTAGTTCCCACTTTTTATTTGTTTATCTCCTCCACTAGCATATAACTTATTACTTTTTATGGGGCAAATAAAATATACTGCTTTCTTTATGGCTTATGCACTATGTCCATTGTTTCCACTTATACACTATTTTCATTATTGCTCTTGCATTACTTAATTTAGTCCGATCGTAAGATCATGCCCCTCTCTACAAAAGGTTCTTTCGTTAGCAATGTCAATTTCTTACCTCTTTTTTGCAGAATTTAGTATAAAAATACCATAGGTATATAGCAAGCGAAAAAATATAATCTAATTCAAGTCATAATGTGCACAGATATTTAACATTATTCCAGTCCTTGGTCAATTGAAAATTGAACGATATCCGCCAAATGGCTTTAATAGTCAAGAGAAAAAAAGAACGGATCTCAATTACTTTTGCATCTGATTTCATCACAATTTTATAAGTATTGCTACGAAAGAGGTTAGTAAGATTATTTAAAAGTTATTTTATCTTAATTTTCGTTCTTTATAATGTTTTAATTAGTTTTACTAGAGTGTATGATAATGGCATAAAATATACCTTATCCTTAGTAGATTAGTTGATTGTAAAGTGCATTAGTATTTGTTTTTTTTCAAATTTCTTAATCGCATCAGTACCCTTTATCAAAAACATCGTTAAAGCCTAAGATAGGAGGGAATAATAACATATTAATTAAAGCCAACATGAAACACAATCTATACTTTTTATGGGAAATTATTTTGAATAATTGAAGAAAAGAAAGTGGATATGATATTGGACAATGTTTAATTGCGGCAACGAGAATTTATTTTGATTTACTTATATACTCTTTTATTTTTTTGTTGATAGCCACTGCAACCGAACAAAAATCTCTACTAAAGCAAATAAATAAAATACAATATATATGTAATGCACTTCCATTGAATTTCACATAACCTTGCTTCCTAAAAGGTATCCTCATCCAAGACTGTTAAATCCAGTGGGTACGTAAGCTCTACTCACAACATTGTGGGAAACTTCAACTACCAGACCTTCATATTTTTTACGAAATAAAGTGAATACATTTAATGTGTATGATCTACTGGTCTTCTCAAGAAGCTGTCAATAAAACTAAAAATGCTAAAATATATATGATAATATAAAGATATAAAATCGCACTCATAAAATATGCTAAATATCATAGTATTATTTCGAATGGTGTTGAATTATAATGTAATAATTTGTAAATTATTCCTAACCGCTTACAGCACAAATGAATAAATATGATAAATTTAGTTTTGCAAGCACAAACTAATAACTTTTCAGAGTGGCAAAACAGTAAAATTTCGCAGTTAGATACTGGCCTGATTAAGTGCATTCTAAAACGAGTTGATTGTGCGATTTCGACCTCTCTGAAGCTCATCATTCAGGAGCGCCAGTATCAGCTTTTGATATAAATCTTCAGCTTACAATTGGGCAAAAAACATGAACTAGATGCACAAGCTCGAAAAAGTTTTTCATACATATTACTAAGGTCTGCTAAAATATAGAAAAGGAGTCACTTAAACAAGTATTTCTCGTGTACAGTACGTATATAGCAAAACTTGTAGATATTGTCATCATATCTAAGATTCATACTTTATGCGTCTTTACTTCCCTGTCTTTTACCTGGCTGCTTGTAGACTTCAGCAAGCAAACCTCTAAGATGCTCTCCACTTATGCTCCCAGATATGCTCCTCTGAGTATAAAGTCTTTATCAATAAACTTGGAATCAAGCCATTTGTAATCACAGCTAGTTCTAGAGTAAGCATAGCTATGCTGTATGCTTTGAATTAACATAGGCACAGAACAAAAGTTATTGTATGGTGTTATAATTATTAACGGAGTGCCGTAAATGCATTTAACAGAGCATCCTAACGCCGAATTGTGCGTGCATTCTACCTTGTCGCAGTCTCGTCGGCGGCTCTAGCAGAATTCGGATGGATGGTATATATAAATTCCCGTGAATAGCCATGACTAAACTGCCTTTCGGCATGAATAAAGAATCTGGCTTGTTACAAATCGGAATTCCAATTCTAGTACTACTTTGTCTCTTTTTAGGCCTATGCAATGTTCGTCGTCAGTCTGGTTTTTGTTACCATATTCACCTTCGTCGCCGAGACGCACAGCTCATTTCAAGTGTCAATTCCCGATACGGGGCGACATGTGAATCCAGAAGAAGCTCGCACCAATAGTGCTTTACCGTCTTCTTCGTTTCATGCTTCTTTGGCGTCCCTCCACTCTACTCTCGACCTTGATTCCTATTCTCGTACTACCCCCTCCTCATCTGTCGTCCCTCGGCAACTGGCAGAAGACAACAATTTTTCCGAAAGTTCTCTGGACTCGAACGAGCTTCTGGCCCGTCTTCATGCAGTCAATCACGACCTCGTCGCCTCGTTGTTGCATCGAGCCTCCAAAGCGGGTCAAGCTCAGCTTGAACCCACGCAAATGATGATGGCCTGGCCGGGTCTCGAGATCATCGACTACACGTGCGCCGTCTTCTTTACCATCGATCTGGCTCTCCGATTCTACGCCTCGCCTCAGCGACTGCATTTCATCCAAAGTCCCGTTACTTTGGTTGAGCTGCTCGCTGTTGTGCCCTACTATGCCGACTTCATTCTCCATCTACCACTCAAGCTGCACGGCAGTCCATCGCATGGCGATGAGGAGGCCTCGAGACTAGGGTCTCCAGGGCCCGCCGACGCTGGCAACGTGAGTCTGCCCCATCTGCCGAGATTGCGCAAGTTCGTAGATTTGGTACACGTCTTTCGCATCTTCGGCATCCTGCGACTTCTCAAAGTGTTGCGCTATTATGCCGGCTTACAGGTGCTCATCTACACTCTGCGCTCCAGTTTCAAGGATCTCATGTTGATGCTGACCTTCATCAGTGTGGCCACACTAATCTTCGCCTCGTTGATCTACTTCGCCGATGATCCTCAGATCTTCACCAGCATTCCAGCCGCTTGCTGGTGGGCCGTGGTGACCATCACCACAGTTGGCTACGGTGACTACTATCCGCGATATCCGGCCGGCTGTTTCATTGGAGCAGCCTGTGCTCTTGTCGGCGTCCTTGTTGTCGCTTTCACGGTGCCCATTCTAGTCAACTCTTTCATGCTTTACTACTCGTACGCAGACAGTCTGAACTCCGAGAAGGGCCTACGTACAAGCGACCATTGCTGTTCTGCAAGAGCCCCAGACAACTATTGCAGGGCGCGTCTTTCGCATCTCAGGCTAGTCAACTCGAGGGAGGAGATTCAACTCGACCATCATAGGAGCCTCAAACCGCGCGAAATATGAACAAGAATGGCGAGAAAGTCGTGTAAAAAGCCAACTTTTAAGTCCCTATTCCTGATACACTTTTTTTCCTTCTGTCACTCTCCAGCCTAGACTAACTTGAGTTGATACTGTCTGAGTACAAGTTCTACTCATCGGCCTTCCGAAAAATATAGATGCATGCAGGTCACAATTAATAAGAGTAATTCGTCCCTTGAACTTTCTTATTATTCGAAGCGATTGTAACATATAAAGTTATTTAATTGGTTCCATCTAATTGAAATTTTAAAAAATTTTATAATGCTAATTTTTCCTCGTTTCCTAATGTAATATAATAACTAAGGATCGTCAAAACTATTAAAAAACAAAGGTTTTTATAAGCAAATTAATACGATATAGAAAGCATCATTACTTCTTACTTGAACAATTGCCTGTGCCTAAGTGATTATTTAGTAGCATGCTTTAAATGTTGGGATTGTTCCTTTTTCTATGAGCTACAATAAAGATAGTGTATTTTCTTGAAAAATATCATTTTCACATTTTCATTGTAATACTTCCCTTCCTAGAGGTGGCTTTACAACCACACTAAATTGATACTTATTTACTTTCTTCCACATACTTTTTAAATATTCTGTGCCGCCGCTTCATGCATTTCAACATCCCTGTCAATTTTATAATTG